CACACACACACGCACACCCCCACACAAGCCTTTTTTGTGTGGTAAGCATTACCATTAAATAACCCATTCAATTTCCAAGTTTTGTGTAGTGGCCCAAAATGTATTTGTTATACTTCCAAAATTTTTAGAGCTCCCATGAAGCAGAACATATAAACCTCCATGTGTCATATGCGTGGGTATTTGCAAACACATATATAAAGTACATAAAAACAGGCACAACAGAAAACACACATTTGGGTGCTTTAATAAAAACACACACAGACACACAAAGGGAGAAAGGGCAGAGACAGGCCGGGAGTGTTTTCCTTGTTTGAAGTGATCAATAATGACTGCTGAGAAATACACAGAATACAGATGGATCATCAGCTAATGTCGAATGTGGACCGTTCATCAGCTCAAATCGAGCGTGGTGAAATATATAGATGTTCTAGCCGAGTGAAACATCGCCTCACATTACATTACATTTAGCTGACTGGCTTTTAAGTGGCTCGCTCGGGCATGAAGACTTTGTCAAACGCAAGTTAACACCCACACAAGGGTATCGAATCAAACGCACCCAGGCTCCCGGTTGTTTTGTTACTTTTTGAATTTAAGTTGTTTTGCCGGTGCTGTTGTTCATTATAATGGGAGGAGTTCAAGAGTCAGAGGTTACAGAAACATACACAGATATTTTCCCCTCAGTGAAGAAATCCTTTTACAAATAATATCGTTATTTTTACTATAAAGAAGAAAGGAGACATTTAGCATTATAGTGTGGCAAATTTGGGTGTGATCACTTTGAATGGTTTTGTATTGTATAAGCTGAGAATTATTTATTTTTTTTGTATTGTGCTCGGGTTGGAATGAATCAGGCCAAGTGGAGCACAGGCTGAAATTTGAGGCCTGAACAGTTACTCTAATCATCTCTGAGGGGCATTCAGATGACAAGTGGCACCCACTCAGACACTGTTCATTTTTATTCAGAGGCAGACAGGTCAGGGCAGTTTGGCAGGCAGAGAGGAGAACTGGCTCAAACTGTCCCTGGCACATGTCTGTCTGCCTCTGATTTGATCCATTCAGAACCTCTGAGATAATAATGCTGGTTTTAAGCACAGAGTAAACCAATCAGTATACACCACTTTGACTAATGAAATGACCGTTTGCCTTGCTGTTTGGGAGACTTGTTGCTCATAGAGAAGCTTTAGGCAGGTAAGTAGGCCTTGACAAAGCAGGCAATTTGTGCAAGATAGGGTGCAACAAGTACATAATAAAAATAATCTGAGACAATGTTAAAAAAGTTGTTGGTCCAAAACACAGGGCACAGTTTAAACTTCCTTTTCAAAGTAAAAGCACTGTAGTAATCTTTTATTTTTAACATGACTTCTTCGGTTGAAGGACAGTATCTTTCCACTGCGCTCTCT